GGGCCAGCGTTTCCAAACAAACTTGCCAGAGAGCTGGACCTGTGTCTTGAGCCCCTTTGCCCCTGCAGCGCGAACCCGAACACTTGGCCCAGGCTTGTCTTCAGAAGCTTCCAGAAAGCTGGCCCAGGCTTCTTAAAGTATAATGTTCTTAATCCGATGTTCGGCTGTAGTGGTGCGTCCCCTGCTTTGGTCCGAGTAGGATCTTCATCATACATTCTCCACCTCCTCCTCTGGAGGAGGACATCCAGATGCTGGTCGTCGAGACCCTCCCGACCACTATCAAGGGCGTTTTTCCTACCACTGCGGCAGCCGCGAACACCCTGTTGGTCGAAGGCCTCGGCGAGAGGGTTAGCCAGAAACGAGCTGAGCAGTCAGCGTTTTTTCTTCCCTGTTGGAACCGCTTGAGTCCAAGATCGAGGAGTTACGTTCCGGAATTTTGGCTTAGCGCGTCGCGCCGAAAATTCCGGCACACTGCGCTTCGGAGCGACACTGTATATCTATCCACGACCCAGTCCCCAAGCGTCAACGTCTCGAGTTGTTGCCAGCCTTCCGCCCCTGGGGGCGGATCGAAACGCTATCTGCTTGCAAGGCATCGCGTGTCGCCGGGGCCGCCGCCGCGACACGCCAATCACAAGTTCCTGACCGTAGACACCCTGGTCTCTGGCATCACGCAGCTTCCCGCCGCCTTTCTCCCTCGGCCTCGAGTACAACACCAGCTTATTTTGGCGTGCTGACCGTGCGAACAAATTCCGGCGGCGGTGCTATCGACCATCGACCTGAGCGTGTATTTCTGCATCCCGCTGGGCGTACCATTGAGGACAACGCTGCATCGGAGAGACGATCGCCTGGCCTTCATGGGCGCATGGCGCCGTGCGGGGCCAGCCCTCGACGGATCGCCCCGACGGCGAAGCCCATAATTTACCAACGATTTGACAACACTGCTGACCAAGCCGAGGCTGAAGAACTTTCTAACCTTACGACGCCGCAGATCTTCGGAGAAGGGCCTGGCTCTCGACGACGGGCCCCATGCCGAGGCCCCCGAATTGCAGAATTTCGTCCAAGCCAGCTGCTTCTCCGGAGCCGGCTGTCGACTGCAGGGCTTCGCGGCGATTTGTTCGTTGTACGTTTTTTGGTCGCCGCTGCTCTCTCTGAATGGAACTTTTCTCAAGCGCTAGGCGAAGTTCAGTAACGTTATCGTCCTCTGGCGGACTCAGGCTGAACCCTGAAAAAGGCTGCGGAGCAGGGAACAAGACTCTGGCGAGAACCCCCCCCGTGACTCCGCGGCTGCATGAAGGCTGGCACATATAGAACTAAGCATCGTGTCTGTTGGCTCCTCGGTCCTCTTCTTTCTCGCCCGGTGCGGCCTCTGCCCGTTCAAGTTCGGTGTGTCTGGTGGGCCTCGGCCTGCCCAGAGGGGTCACCGGTCATCGTCTTCGCTCCGCGGTCATGCTCCTTTCTTCTTCCTTTCCCTCCTCCTCCTCCTCCTCCTCCTCCTCCACCTCCTCCATCTTCTCCTCCTCCTCCCTTCTCCTCCTCCTCCGCGCATTGTCCAGTGTTGTAGCACTGCTGGCCTTTCAGACTCACAACACGCGGCAAATAGGATACTGCCGTGGAGCTCACGCCCGATTGCTCGGCCGCATCGCTCTCTGGCCTGGCAGCGGGCCCGCGCGCCCCCAGCCTCAGCCGCGCCTCCCTCCTCCTTCTCCCTCCGTCTCCTCCTCCTCCCCCCCGCCCCTTCCCTCTGTGCTCTTCCCCCCCTTCCCCCTACCTCCTCGGATTTTCCTCCCCCCCCCCCCTCCCCCCCCCCTCCCCCCCTCCCTCCCTCGCTCCCTCTCCTCCCCCTCCCTCTCCCTCCAGCCCCTCCTCCGTCCTTCCCTCCCCCGCCCCCGTGGCCGCCAGCCCGCCAAGGTGGCCATCAGCGCAAACTTCATCGATGCCTCCAACCTCGGCGCCGCCCGCGCCGAGGCCGAGGCCCTCGGACTGGCCTCCGAGGACCCGTGGCTGCTGGCGGGGGTGCTGCGCGAGGCGCGCGGGGGCTCCCTCAGGAGGGCGCGGGGAGGGGGGGGAGGGGCAGGAAGGGGCAGGGAGAAGGGAGGAGGGAGGGAGGGAAGGGCAGAGGGAGGGGAGGAGGGAGGGCAGGAGGGAGGGAAAGAGGGCGGGGAGGAGGGAGGGAGGGCAGAAGGGAGGGGGGGATGGAGGGAGGAAGAGGGGGAGGAGAGAGGAGGAGAGGAGGAGAGGCCGGATCCAGGCGGTGGCTGGTGCGGGACCCTGGAACATGACCCCAATGCCCAGGAGGACGCAGGAGGAGGAGGAGGAGGAGGAGGATGTAGGAGGCTTTTCTGCTGCAGTGCAAAGCTTCGCGCGTGCTGGCCCGAGCAACGGAGGGGGGAGGAGGGAGAAGAAGGCGGCGGGAGGACGAAAGGTGGACGGCGTATAAGGAGGAGGAGGAGGAGGAGGAGGAGGAGGAGGAAGAGGCGGAGGCGGAGTGATACCTTCCCTCCCTCGTGGCATCATTCCCCCCTCCTTGCTTCCCCCCTTCACTCACGGATGGACGGATAGACGGATGGTTGCAGGGTTGATGATGGTATGACTTTGTATGATACGATAGGGTGATGATGTTGTTGTTGATGATGATGATGATGATGATGATGGTGATGGTGTTGATGTTGCTGACGGTGATGATTATGATGATGGCCATGATGATGGTTATGGTGATGTTGATGTTGATGCTGATGGTGTTGATGCTGATGATGCTTATGATCATGATGATGGTGGTGGTGGTGCTGATGATATTGATGTCGATGATGATAACGACGATGATGATTGTGATATTGGTGCTGGTGATGATGAGACTGATGCTGATGATGCTGGTACTGATGATGATGATGCTGATGATGATTATGATGACGACGATGATGATGCTGATGATGATGATGATGATGATGATGATGATGATGATGACGGTACTGGTGGTGATGACGATGCCGTTGACGTTGGTGATGATGAGTATGGTGATGGTGATGGCGGTTGTGCTAACTGTGGTGATGGTGATGATGACGATGGTGATTGTGATGGTGTTGCTGGTGATGATAACGATGATCACGATGATGACGATGATGATGCGGATTTACATGCTCAAAGCGTTGATGCTGACGGTGATGTTAACGATGCTGATGAGGGTTATGACGATGATGAACATCATGATAAGGATCGTGATCATGGGGCTGATTTTGATGGTGATGATCTTGATGATGATAGTGTGATGATGATGGCGCTGATGATAATGCTAATGATGATGATGGTGAAGATGAGAATAATGATGATGCTGATGATGATGATGGTGGTGATGATGGTGGTGGTCATGATGATGATGATGATGATGATGATGATGATGATGGTGGTGGTGGTGGTGGTGGTGGTGATGATTGTGCTTCGTAATATCAGAATGAGGGGGCCGAACGGTCATTCATTGTCCCTGCGTGCGTGGCTGAATAAAGAATTCGTGGTGAGAGTTTTGCCTGTTGCGTTGTTGCTGTCGTTGTTGATGCTGTTTTTGTTGTCGTCGTCGTCGTCGTCGTTGTCGTCGTTGTTGTTGTTGTTGTCGTTGTTGTTGTTGTTGTAGTTGGTGTTGTTGTTGTTGTTGTTGTTGTTGTTGTTGTTGTTGTTGTTGTTGTTGTTGTTGTTTGTTGTCGTCGCCCCACCCGCGACCCAGCCGCGACCCACCCCGCGACCCACCCCGCGACCCACACCGCGACCCACCCTGCGACCCACCCCGCGACCCACCCGCGACCCACCCCGCGACCCACCCCGCGACCCATCCGCGACCCATCCTCGACCCATCCGCGACCCATCCGCGACCCACCCCGCGACCCACCCGCGACCCACCCCGCGACCCACCCCGCGACCCACCCCGCGACCCACCCGCGACGACCACACCAACCCGCGACCCACCCCGCGACCCACACGCGACCCATCCGCGCGACCCACCACGGCCCAACCCGCGACCCACCCCGCGAACCACCCCGCGACCCCACCCGCGACCCACCCCGCGACCCACCACGCGACCCATCCGCGACCCATCCGCGACCCACCCGCGACCCACCCGCGACCCACCCGCGACCCACCCCGCGACCCACCCTCAAGAGAGGAAAAACCACATGGACCCGACAATTGACGTTTACTAAACGGCCCTTGGCATTGACTAAACAGCCCTGCCCTTTTTGATTCATTCCTTGTGTGCGTGTACTAAACAGCTTCGCTTGTCGGGGTGATTATTATGGGGTGGTTTTTCTGCCCTCTACACCCTCGACCCAGCCGCGACCCAACATTGACCCACCCGCGACCCATTTGCGACCCACCCGCGACCGACCCACATTGAAATATCGGCGCCTGCGGCGGGCTCGTTGTATAATTTGTGAAACTTTGGCGCCTGCGGCGGGGTTCTCTGAAGTCTCGCAAACTGCCGACGTCCCCACCGCCCCCTCACTCTCATCCGCATCTGCGGGGTGCTACGTTATCTGGTTGTTATGATGCTGATGGTGATGACGAATGACCGGGAAGGAAGATGCCGGGGAGGAGCAGGAGGAGGAGGAGGAGGAGGCGGGGAAGGAGGAGAAAGAGAGAGTGAATGGGGGATGGCGGGCTCCGTCCAACGTTTGCATGCCGTCGTCTCTCCCAAGAAACGACGATGCCCGTGAAAGGCTGGAACGCGTGTGCCGCCCGGTAAAATTCCGCATTGCAGAGGAGCTGAGCCGAATGTGTTCTGGGGCGAGCCAGGGGTCTCGATTGCTTTTGCTCTGTGTTCCAAGGCTCGAGTCTTCCCTCTGGTGGCACGTCTGGATGTGCGCGCACGTGAGCGGACGTTAGCAGCTGCTACCTTCTGTGGGAGGATGTGCATGCCGAAAGCGCGCAAGTCTCGTGCGGAACACGGCCCGCCTTGGATGAGGCCCAGCAGGACGGCGAGGCACCCTCGAGCGTGTCATGAGCGCAGGTCCGCGCGGATGCAGTCCAGCTCGTCCAGCTCCCACGCGCAGCTGGGGCACGTCCCGTGCCCCTCTCTGCATGCGGGGTGTAGATTCCTCTGTTGCATTCCCCCGCCCGGTCGCCAGAGCGCGGTGCCGTCAGCACTGCACAGGGCGGATTGTGCAACATTGTCACACCTTTCACACTGTCGGTGTGGATGGCGTTCTCCCTCTGGCAGCGGTGCTTCAGTAACAAAGCAGCATCGGCTGGAGGAGAACGGGCAAGAGAAGCTCGCCCCGCGTGCCTCGGCTCGAAACTTCGTCTCCACCTCGCAGTTCCACCATGCGTTGCTCAACTGCTTTGACCCCTCTGCGTTCCCTCGGTTGAGGCACCCTGCGTCCAGGCTTCGTCGCATGCTCGGTACCGAATGACCTGTGGTGTACTAAGTGCCAGCCGTCGCGATCCTGATTACACTCCACGGGTTCCGGGTTGCGCCTCATTCGTGTCTGGGCAGTGCGTGGAAGGGCACCTGGGACCAGCACATTGAGAAATGCGCACGGTCAGATGACGGCTGGCATGCGCTTGTTCGTGTATTTCACCGATTGCTTGTCCGTTGAGTTCGAACGCGCTGGTCATTGACCGCATGGGAGCAGACGCGGGGCCAGTTAGGCCTTGCTGCGCGACTGGCCCGGAGGAGTAGCGATCGTAGTGCGATTGCGAGCGCGACTGCGAGGAAGAGGAAGCGGAGGAGGAGGAGGCGCCCACACGAGGAGTAGGAGGATGGCAATGGTGAGGACCCAGAGGGGGGCAGACATGTTTTGAAAGAGGACGAGGGGGAGGAGGAATGAGGACGAGGCGGGGACAAATCTTCGAAGAACAAGCAGAAGGAAGGGGCAGGGCCAGGGAGGGGAGATGCAGGAGGAGCAAGGGGCAGGAGGAGGAGCAGAAGGACATGGAGCAGGAGCAGGAGAAGAGGCGACGAGGAAAAATATGAGGAGACACGAGGAGCAGAAACGAGC